TTCAGTCCTTAAGTAGATATAAATAAAAATTTATGTTTTCATTAAAAAGAAAGTTGTTATTTAATTTATTATTTTTCTGTGAATAACAATTATCATTTTTCGCATTCCTCTTGAAGACGTTTAATTTAAATATTAACTTTATATTTATCTGGTATAAACATAATTCTTGAAATGTATAATATTCAAAACGTACAGAATGATCTTTCTTTATAACATAAAGTATAGCTTTTTTCAATGAAAGACACAATTTTGTCGCATGCTGCTTATTTTTATCCTTACTTACATATTGTTTTTAAGCAGAGATAATCTGCATGTATATACTTCATTGCACAATTTTATTTGTTTTGAATACTTTCTGTACTCGCGGGAAATGTCATCAAGTAGGATACTATTACTAAATTATTATCTTCTTGTAATCTGGACGATTTCAAATTACATTCAGTAAAGATTTTTTTTTCCTGTTTTTTTTTTTGTTTATTGTTTGTTAGCTTAGAGTTCATTTAATTTTATTTATGTACTTGTCGAAGAGATGTTTTATCTTTGATTTTGCAGCATACTTTGATTCATTATTTATCTTCGTTAAATGTCAACGATTTAAAATTATAGTTTTTTAAGATTTTCTTATTCTATTTTATTTGTTTGTTGTTTGTTGGCCTCTATAGTTTATTTATTTGATTCTCAATTTGTCGAAGCACTGTCTTTTCTTTGATATTGCTGCATAATTTGATTAATTTTTTATCTTCGTGAAATGTCAGCGATTTAAAATTACAGTGATTTAAGATTTAATTTTTCTGTTTGATTTGTTTATTGTTTGTTGGCCTCCGGATTTCAGTTAATTTTAGTCTCTACTTGTCGAAGCCTCGCCTTGTTTCTCAAGTAAAAGAGCTCTTTCTACCGCCACCTTGTATACTACGATTTGGGTTTTCTCAAGATATTTAGCTATATCACGATTGCGTAAACCGTCTAAGAAGTGAGCGACTAGCTCACCTTCATCTTCATATTTGTAGTTGCACCTCTTATATATATATTTTAAGTTCCTAGCATACCTGATCATTGTTTCGTCATCATGTTGTTTTCGTGCTCTGAACCTTCTTCTGTTTGTTGTTTGATTTATCAATGCAGGACATTTTTTTAAATTTCTTACTAAATCTTTGTACGATAACTGTGCCGGATGACGAGGCGATATATATCTCTTTAGAGATTTATAGATTCTAGATTCTAACATCATACAAAAAAATGCAGCTTTTTTACTATCAGGTACATTGAGATTTTTTACTACATTCAAAAATTCCCTTTCCCAAGACGTAATACTAAAATATTCTGGATCGTAACGTTTTAACGTTTTAACAGCTTCGGATACATAATTTATGAGTTCTTCATCATTCTCTGATGACATTTTAAAAACAAATATAGGCTTTATTAATGGCTTGTATAGCTGGTAAATAGATAACTTGTTAAAAGTTCTGAGTTTAACCTTTCGTTAAACTTTCACCAATAAACACTGCGTTGTTCGTTATATATTTAAAAAGAATTTTTGTCTTGTAAAACGTGTCAATATTCTAGTTATATATATTCTCGATTTTATTGTTTATAATTATTTATAAGTAAAGAAAAACTTTTTGTCGCAATATATATTAAAAATTCTGTTTTAAATATATCCTTTTAACAAAAAAGAGAATAGAAAATCTTAACTGATATCTCAACAGCTCATAAGTTGCTGATCGACTAACTATTTAAACTTTATWGATTTAGGGTAGGAGTGGGAAAATTTAGATTTTCAACTCCCTACATTTGTCCTTGTCAAAGATAATAAAATACTTGCCTGTAAATAGAAAGAGAATAAACAATTAATT